GCACCTTGTTGTCTCGGATTCTCCAGCATCTGCAGTTCCTACTATCTATGGTTCTATAATAGTTTTTTTACTCGCCTAGAAACCCCAAAAGCCTGGACCAATGATTTGCAGACATCAGTTCTAATCCTACCACAGCAATAGGGAAATTTATGTTCATTCAAATTAATCTGGCACAAAATCTTAAACCAGCATTTTCCTTTGAAAGTTCCCGGGGAAGGTGGCAGAAAGGGCAGATAATTGGGTGCATTGACATTATAAAGACACCACCGCCTTCCTGCCAGAAACTGAGCTCTGAGTGGGAAGGCCTACCATCCTAATCAACCATCAATTAAGGACCCTAACTGGCTAATTTGTGACCAATTAAGGGCCCATTCATGTTACCTCCTCTATTATCTGAGCTTCTGATGAATGGGAAAAGTAGAAACCCTCACGACCCTGAAATGGCCGCTGGATACCATACCGCTATCCTTGCTTCTGAGAAGCCCACTGGGTAACCACATAAATGCCTGATAGGAACTTGGTCTGGCAGGCTCTCTGAGTGGTGGCGTAGAGGGTCTTTCAGGACATCATGGTACATGCTCCTCAGTTTGAATCCAGAATGGAAAATGCCAGCCTCTGTATCAGAATGTTGACCATGAAATTTTTCTTGGAAATGCTTATTGGTTCAAAAATATCTTTAGGGAAGGGAATCTTCTGCCCTCACCTGAACTCAGCCTAATCAAGTTTCCAGGAGTTCTGTTCGACTCTTCACTAACCTCTGATATATCCTAGCCAGCCATTCCACTGGTTTCAAGGCATCAGCTCACTATCGTTTTCAAAAGGACAATTAGAATGGGTAATAAATACTGGCCCTGCTAGTGAAATCCACATCCTGTGGATGAATAAAAATAACAAAAATGGTCATGCTGATGTCCATTTTATTCCACTGAATGTGCATCATGTTAATATTTCTGAAGTATCACTGAAGGAACTAGATGATGTCTGAAAGGATGAGACCAGAACAGTTCATGATGATTCATGTTAGGTTTAAAATTGATTAGTTCTTCTACCAATTCCTTGTTTAGTAGGATCTTCCTGGCAATGAAGTCACCAACAAATTTCCATTCAATTACAACATGCGCCTGAGGTTAGCTTCTATAATTACTTATGTTAATATCTACACTATACCCCCCTGTTATTTTTACACCACTGTTACTAGTAACAGCCTTGTTGTCAGCAACAATACTGTATCATTGGACAGCTCCAAGAGCCCAGAATTGATGGTTTTGGCAGACAGCAGTTATCCTGGAAACGAAATAAATACAGTTACTGAACAATGACAGAACCAAGCCTTCTCATCATAGATAGATCAAAAACTCTGTTAGACAGTTAGAAGCATCAACTTTGATGGAACAAACGAGCTGTGCTTGTGTTTTGTTTTTATTTTCAATGTTCATCCAGAAGTGTGGGAGCTTGAACGTCAGAAAACTTTTGATCACAGCATGGTGGCTCAGTCGTTAGCACAACTGCTTCCCCGCGATAGAGACCCATGTTCGATTCCATCCTCAGGCGACTGCCTGTGCATCTATGTATGTATTCTCCAGGTGCTCCAATTTCCTCATACAGTCCAAAGATACACAGGTTAGGTGGAATGGCCATGGGAACTGCAGTGTTATGTGGCTAGGGTCTGGGCGGGATGGTCTTTGGAGGGTCGGTGTGGACTTGTTGGGCCGAATGGTCTATTTACACACTGTAGGGATTCTATGAACCTCTAAAACTCTTGAAGCTGTCCTATGATAAACAGAAGGCACTAAATATAGACAGCTTGGACTGTAGATTATAGAAGCATTTTCTAATCCAACCACCTTTCCAGTTTTACTTTTGCACCAGATGAGGATGAACAATTGTTGTAACTCACCCATCTGCTCTTTGAATACAATAGCACCTCACACCATCATTGTTCCTCTGTTTAGATTCAGGATCCTAGTCACAGAATCAACTACGTCACTTCCCGTCTGGATGAAGAATTCTGTACTATTATGGTCACTCGCTCCAAGGAGCCTCACACAGTTAGATTGCCAAAGCCAAGACTCCAGAAAATGACTGCTCAACTATCAACATCTGCTATTTAGTCTTCATGAACTACCAGAGACATTGATCCATATATCTTTAAATGGTTTTTGTTTGGATTTCTCAGTTCTAATCTTTGTGCATGTATGTGGTGTTACTGTTTCTTCTCCTGTTTAGTAACTTATAAACTCGCTCATTTGGTAACTCAAGAAAATGGGCTTCTTTTAAAACATGGTTAATTTGGTTTGGAAGAAGGTTCCTTTAAGGAGGGTATCCCTTGCCAACTGAACATGTTGCAACCAACCAAGGGGTTTGGTGAATAAAGAAGGGCAGCCGGTTTATCCCTGCTCACCCAGGAATTTGACAACTCAGGGTATCCCATCTGGAACTGTAATATCTTGGGGGAGCTCACTCAGGGTCTGGTTGTGGCATTACTCAAACCTTTCCTGTAGGGGCCATTTCCTGCAGCTTTTTTAAAAAAGTTTTACCCTTCCAGGGATATAAAAAAAATAAGGTTATAAATGAGCTCCAACCTTAAGCTATGTCTATTAGTGGGTTTACACCCTAGTGTGTGGACTAGTGTGCTGTGAAGATTTCAGTTTGAGAACAATCATGAAACACCCCTGCACTGCAGGTAAACAAAGAGCAAAGTTACTATCTCACTTGGAGTGCTGCCAGTTACCACTGTCAAAAGGAACCAGGACAAAATAAAATGTCAATCAACCTGTAATACTAAGAACCTCAAAAGAAACACAAGAGAAAGGATTCTTCAGCTGAGGGAGAAAGTGAATAAAGAAGGGGAGCCAATTTGTCTGTCCTCACTGGGAGCTTGATAATTTGAGGTATCCCATTTGGAACTGTAAAGAATTAGGGATTCTCGTTGTAACAGCTGAATTTGTAATGCAACTGCTTACCTTTTTCTCTTTCACCGATTTAAACCACTGATGTGAAGTCATTAAACTGCTGAGTGTAAGAAACATAGCAAAGACTATGACCTTCATTAACATTTCTGCTGCAATGTTGAATTCTGTGCTCCAGAACCAACTGTGGCCCTAGCCAAGGTGTTCCACCTCGTACAGCTGCAACATTGCCAATTACCCATTAAAAACAGGACAAATCTAACCTGACTATTACTACTGTAGCGATTTACTCTCCTCAATAAAATGACAGAATAGTCTGGAGTAACTATGCAGGACTCCCAGTATCTATGGAAGTGAGAAACTGGGTTCATACAAAGTTCAAAATCTCTTCTTTAAAACAGTTCCAAGGAAGAGTTTTGGGACACAAAACACATTTGACTGGCATCAAACTCTATGACAGTTTGCTTTCAATGATGCATCTGTAGAAGTTGGTAAGGGACCTTATGGACATGCCAAATTTCCTGAGCCCCCTGAAGAAGAAGAGGCATTGTTGTGCCTTCTTGACCATTGCATCTACTTGGGAATCCAGGACAGATTGACAGTTATCGTCACTCTGATGCTCTTCACCCTCTCAGCCTCAGTTCCGTTGATGTAGATGGGGGCGCGTTCTCCTCCTTTCTTTCTGAAGTCAAAAATCACTTCTTTAGTTTTTCTGACATTGAGAGTGAGGTTGTTCCCATTGCAACATGTCAGCAAGCCCCCGTTCTCCCTTCTGTATTCTGACTCATCATTGTTAGATATCCATCCTACTATAGTAGTGTCATCAGTGAACTTGTAGATGGCATTCGTTCGGAATTTGGCAACATAGTTGTGTGTGTGCAGGGAGTACAGTAGGGATCTGAGGACGCATCCTTGTGGGGCTTCAATGTTGAGTGTTATTGAGGAGGAGGTGCACTGATTGCGGTCACTGATTGCGGTCTGTGGGTCAGAAAGCCGAGGTTCCTAGTTGCAGAGGGCAGAACCGTGACCAAGGTCAAGGAGTTTTGAGATCAGTCTGGAGGGGAGAATTGTGTTGAAGGCGGAGCTGTAGTCAATGAGCAGGAGTCTGACGTAGGTGTCTTTGTTGTCCAGATGTTCTAGGGGTGAGTGCAGGATGTTGCTTATGGCATCCGCTGTGGACCTATTAAGTTGGTAGGCAAATTGTAGGAGATCGAGGCAGTTTGGGAGACTGGATTTGATGTGGGCCATGACCAGCCTCTCGAAGCACTTCATGATTATGATTATTCATGATTGAGGTCAGAGCCACTGGGCGGTGGTCATTATGGCACTCTGCATAAATCTCCTTTGCACCCCTTCCAGTGCAACCACATCTTTCCTTTAGTGCAGTGGCACACTGCATGTGCTTTCTTAGGCACAGGGATTATGCACAAGAAAGATGTTTGCTGGAAGTCATTCACTTCCAGTTTAGGATATTGCTGTAGATGTTCCTCAGGGCAGTGTCCTAGGCCAAACCAAGCTCCATAGCTTCCCACCATCATAATGTTATTAAAATAAATGAGTTATCATCTCCATTTAACTGGTCTTCAGATGAATTTTTTGTCAAGATTTTAAAGCAGTTCTATGCTAATGCACATTACTATGATTTAATCCCCCCAGCTGTTTCACAGGAGAACCCAAGAGTAACAGTACTGATGTTTGTAGACATTTTGCGGTTCTGATCGACAGATCTGAGGGAGTACTCAATGAATGGCAGGACAGTAGGAAGCTCAGAGAAACTGAGGGATCTTGGAGGGCTTTTCCACAGAACCCTGAAGGCTGCAGGGCAAGTTATTAGGATCATTAAGAAGGCATACCAGATGCTGGCCTTTATCAGTGGTGGTATAGATTATAAGAGCCGGGAGGTTATGTTGGAGCTGTACAGATATTGGTTAGACCGCAGCTGGAGTGCTTTGTGCAGTTCTGGTCACTGCACTAAAGGAAAGCTGTGGTTGCACTGGAAGAGGTGCAAAGGAGATTTATCAAGATGTTGACTGGAATGATGTATTTTAGTTATGATGAGAGGCTGGACAGACTCGGATTGTTTTCTTTGGGTCAGTGAATGCTGTGAGGGGGCCTGATAGAGGCATACAGGATTGTGAGGGGCATGGGCAGGGAAGATAGAGAGCAACTGTTCCTCTCATTTGAAGGGTCAATAACCAGAAGGTATAATTTTAAGGTGAAAGGCAGCTATCTTAGAAGAGACTTGAGAAACATTTTTTCACCCAGAAGGTTGGTGGGGGTGCACCATCTGAGAGGGTAGTTGAGGAGGGTAACCTCACAACCTTTAAGAAGTACTTGGATGTTAACTTGAAATGCCATAACATTGAAGGATATGGGCCTAGTGCAGGAAAATGGGACTGGCGTAGATTTACTGTACTTTTGGTAGTATAGGCTCATTGAGCTGAAGGGCCTATTCTGTACCATATGACTTTATGATTCTTTCCTACAACTTCTGAGAAGCGTTAATTCAATTTTCTCCTTTTGAGCCTGACTGAAATGAATGAAAAACAGTTTCATGAAGACCATTTGTGACGTTATCTCAGATACTGCATGACTGAGCCAATGGTATATGTTATTCGGATGGCCACGCTATCTAACATTTTGCAATATTTGTACCTGCAGATGAGTCACTCAACATCAAACAATACAGTTTTGACGCACACCCACTCTTGACAGATGTCACAGCTGTTCTACAAAGTAAGATCAGAAAAATATGAATTTGGCCTTCATGAAGTTTGGATGCTCTTTATACAATGTATACATGGTTGTGTTCTTTACAACATTTGGTGTATTTGAATAACAGAAGCAAAAGGTCAGGAGGGTACCAGTTGTAAGTGCAAACAAATCTTCAATTCCATCGGACATGTGACTCTACATGCCTTCAAAGTAGGTTAACACTAGCTGTTCTCTTTATGTTGGACTGAATTAACAGTTCAATTTCTAACAGGGTCTTGGTGTGCACTATGGCTTTATTTAGGTTATTAACTTACTAAATCATTGTTTTATTATTCTATTTCAAGTCAGAAGGATATTATTAAATAGGAGAGGATTCAGAAAAGATTCACTAGGATGTTGCCAGGAATGAAGGATTTGAGTTATAAGGAGAGGCTGGATAGGCTGGGACTTTTTTCACTGGAGCATAACAGGTTGAGGGGTGACCTTATAGAGGCTTATTAAATCATGAGGGGCATAGATAGGGTGAATAGCAAAGATCTTTTCCCTAGGATGTAGGCATTCATAATAAGGGGCATATTTTTAAGGTGAGAGGAGAAAAATTTAAAAGGGATCTGAGGGGCAACTTTTTCACACAAAGGGTGGTTCGATGGGGAATGAACAGCCACAGGATGTAATAGATGCATGTACATTTTGACAAGTACATGAATAAGAAAGGTTTGGAGGGATATGGACCAAACACAGGCAAGTGGGACCAGTTTAGTTCACAAAACTTGTGTGGTCGGTGTGGGTGACTTGGACAAAGTGTCTATTTCCATGCTGCATGACTCTATGGCTCCATAAATAGTGATTCACATCGTTGATAAGTATTAATTTTCTTGTTTGTGTGGATTTCCAATGCAGTTTCACATGTCTGCACTTAAATTCTGAAAGATCACGACCAAGGAAGGACTATCATAATGCAAGAAAATTGCTTGGAAATCTTGTTACCAATACAAAAGCTATCACGAAACAAAGAATGGAAACCTATGATAATCATTGGGTTGTAATTCAGAACAGAACCAAGCTCATTACGACAAAGCACAAGGGAGAACTGACACAAAGATGAACGGGTAATAAGCAGATGCAGCCAGCATTAAAGGGAAGTCCGTGAGCGTAGAGAAATTAGATTGGATAAGGAAAAAGTACTTTGAAGTTTGACAGACTCAAAGAAGAAAAGTCATTCTGTCCAAGTCAGCTGCATCCTAGTTACCTGAGGAAGGATGGAAAGGGTGGAAATTGAGGAGGATCCTTCTTCTAATCATATTTAGTTCTGGAAATGATGCTATTGGAGAGACTGGAAATGTGATACGAGAGCTTAAAGTCATCCAAAACTCTGCTCAGAGATAGTAGGAACTGCCGATGCTGGAGTCTGAGATAACAAGGTTTACAGCTCGATGAACACAGCAGGCCAGGCAGCATCAGAGGAACAGGAAAGCTGACGTTTTGGGTCTAGACTTTCTTCAGAAATGGGGGAGAGGAAGGGGTCTCTGAAATAAATGGATAGGGGGGAGGCGATGATGGAAGGTGGATAAAGGAGTGGATAGATGGAGAGAAGACGGACAGGTCAAGGAGGCAGGGATGGAGCCAATAAAGGTGAGTGTAGGTAAGGAACGGGATGGGGGTTGGTCAGTTGAGGGAAGACGGACAGGTCAAAGAAGCGGGGATGAGGCTAGTAGGTAGGAAGTGGGGGTGGGGGTTGGTCAGTGAGGTGGAAGGAGCAGATAGGTGGGAGAAAAGACGGACAACTCAAGGAGGCAGGGATGAGTTGCGCTGGTGTTGTGATGAGATTGGGGATGGGGAGAATTTGAAGCTTGTGAAGTCCACATTGAGACCATTGGGCTGCAGGGTTCCCAAGCAAAATATGAGGTGCTGTTCTTGCAGCCTTCGGGTGGCATAGTTGTGGCACTGGAAGAGGCCTAGGACGGACGTGTCGTCCAAGGAGTGGGAGGGGGAGTTGAAGTGGTTCGCGACTGGGAGGTGAAGTTGTTTGTCACAAACCGAGCGTAGGGGTTCTCCAATGCGGTCTCCAAGACTCTGCTTGGTTTCCCCGATGTAGAGGAGGCCACATCGGGAACAGCGGATACAATATATCACATTAGCAGATGTGCAGGTGAACATCTGTTTAATGTGGAAGGTTTTCTTGGGGCCTGGGATGGGGGTGAGAGGGGAGGTGTAGGGGCAGGTGTAGCACTTCCTGCGGTTGCAGGGAAAAGTGCCATGGTGGGGCTAGTGGGGAGTGTGGACCTGACGAGGCAGTCACAGAGAGAGCAGACCCTCCGGAAGGCAGATAAGGGTGGGGAGGGAAAAATGACCTTGGTAGTGGGGTCAGATTGCAGGTGGCGGAAGTAGTGGAGGATGATGCGTT